CATATATATATATATATATATATATATATACACAGTGAAACCTCAGTTAAGAGGACACTCTTGGGACTGAAAAATTTTTCACTAATGAGAGTTGTCTGTTAACGAAAGTTGTCAATTATGGCGAAGAGTGCCTTAATAACGAAGACTCATGCCATAAATTGTTTTTAGAATAATTGCAATAATATAGAAATAATTATATAATCAAATTATATAGTCAAGTCAACTATTGACTTTGACATTTATTAATTATTATTTATCCTAATATATATATGAAGAACACATAAAATTAACAAAATGCAAGAACATTTTACGTGATCAAGATAAAATAACTAGTTTTCGACAAAACTTTTCGTTGATTATATTAGCCAATATAATAACAATTTATGAACAATTTTAAATATATTCAATATTGAGTCTCTCATTCTATTTTTAAAATTAATAATTACTTTATTTAATTATGTCAAAAATAAATTTTAATTCAAAATTAAAATTAATTAAACTATAATTTAAAAAAATTATGATATGTATTTTTTAGATTTAAATAAAAGTTATTCATAAAAGCATATTCAACAAATACAATAAAAAGATTAATTTTATTGATCAAACTGAATTTATAAGGATAAGTAACTAAGTATATATGCATCAAACTATACATATAATGAATTTTATTATTTAACTGATATTGCACACTACCCCAAGAAAAGTTTTACTAAAGTAATTCAAAAATTAAAATAAAAAATAAATAAATAAATAAAAAACGTTACCTTAAAATTTTTTTAAAGAAGAAAACTCCTCAGTGACCACTCATGGTCATAATATAAAACTGCAAAAGTGTCAAAGGATGTTCTGATGTTCTGTTTTGAATCGCAACTCTCGCTGAACTTTGGTCTGCTGAATTACTGGACTTACTATAAGTCCTCTCTTGAAAATTTCCAAGATGATGACTTCAGTCAATGGCATTTATCTTCGGAGATCTATTGAACTTACTATAAGTTCTCGCTGGGACATTTCCTAGATGATGACTTCAGTCAATGGCATTTATCTTCGGAGATCTAATGAACTTACTATAAGTCTTTTCGGGACATTTCCAAGATGGTGAATCTTTTGCTGTATAAGAGTCAGGAAAAATGTGCTTCTTTCCATTCTTCAGGGTTTTTAGTTCCTGTATGATGGAAGATCATAATGGATAACACAATAAGTTTTCATATGTATGCTTCGATGCGTTCTTAAAGTAATTTTTGACATAGAATAATAATTAATAAAGGACATTTTGAAACCTCGGTGCTGGATAGAAAGATTTAGTTTTAAAAACTGTACATATTATTCTTGGCAGCTTAGTCTTTTCACATACTATTTTTTTTTAATGTTTTTGCATTTGTAATTAAAAAATATTTGAATCTTTTTTTTCTTTTGAATTGTGCAGTTTTTTTTAATATGAGAGATATTTTAAGGAAACTATTTTTCTGAAGACAGTGATATTTCATTTAATTAATTTCAATTATATTATAGGAGAATATTGAATCTGAAAATGGCAGATTAATGAAAAGCCCACCTGGTTGCTTTTATCCTAAAAAAGGGGAGGAAAAAATTCGAATCAACAAGAATCGAAGGAGGATTACACTGAAAGTTACTAGCATCTGCGATAGACCAATCCAAGTAATTACTTAATATATGCCTGTTCGTATTTCTCGTAGCAGAAAGAATGTTAGAAAAATATAATTTAATGAAAATAGGAACTCAGAAGCATGAATGCAGATAAGAAGGCTCCATGTATTGGTCCGGTTATATTGAATAAAGTGAATTAGTTTTAATAAACAAATGCTTGCAATAACTATCAAATAACTAATTTTGACAAGTTAAGGAAATTAAAAATTTCACTTTAAAACACTTCAGAATCTACAATCACAGCAATAGAGGAAATTTATCTCTAAAATTTGTTTTTTGACGATTTGTTTCGTTACAAAAACTTTGATGCATCAGTTGTGTATGGTGTTAAATATAATGTTTTACATATTTGAGAATTTTGAGACAAATATATCTGTTAGAGAAGTATTAATAACTACTTCAAAATTCTTATATAGTCGTTAATAATCTTTAAATAGTCCTTAAATTTTTTTAGTAACAATTATATGATCTTTATTTATGGAAGAATTCCAAAGAGTTTATTTTTTTGGTTAAAAAGCTATATATTGATTTATGATTACCAATACTTAGTTTATTCAAGCTATTGTACAAAAGATATATCCATTAAATAACAAATTACAGTGCTACTTTTTTAAAATTTATAAATTATATTTGTTACAATTACAATTATATTTGTGGCAGATAAATCTTTTATTCAAATTGGCTCCATGGTCAGAAATATAGCTCTTTAAAATCTATTTGAAAGAGAATTAAATTTGATACAAATGTACGAATTAATTTTTTTTTCATTTTGACAAAATATATTATCATTTTTTTGCTTAAATAGATTTTTATAACATCAACAATATATGAGAATTAATGTTTTGATTTTTGGAGGTACTAAAAGATATTATTTGAAGAAATACCATACGAATTATTAAAATTTTTGTTAGTAATTTTAACTCGATACAATTTTTTTTCCTACTGGCCACTAATGTATATTTAAAACAACTCAGCCCGTTTAAGTAAAGTAATTTTTTCTTCAACGTTTACAAGCTGAGACATATTTTCGTATTTGTTATACATATGCATATTATGTAAGATTTATTTATTTCTGATAAGTGCATTTTCGTGATCTAAGCATATTAATTTATTCTTAAACGTATTAAAGAAATGTAGTTAAAATAATAAATGCTTGTTATTAAACTGATTGAATAACATGAAATATAATCAATATAAGTGAACATGTTTAACATGCATCACAATTGTAAGCGTAACTTCTCTTATGAGTGTTTATTTTATCTCTGTAAGACAAAAAATTATATTTAATATTTATAAGTAAAGTAAGTTATTTAGACATTTGTTTATAAATATAGATAACCGTTTTTTATATTTTTAGGTTGGGAGCCATTATCATTTTATAGAGACCAACAAACGTCTAATTTTTGACAGAGAAAAGTCCTACGGAATGAGACTGGTAATTTGAAGTAGAATATTATTATGCTTAATTTAATGAATTTTTTGTTTGGAGGAAATTCTTAGTCAGGGTATGAAAAAATAAGGAAATAATTGTGTGTTCTCATGTATTGTTATCCCCGAAATAGAAGAGAAAGTCTAAGTTAAAATTTTACTTTCTCAGTTAAAAAATTTAAATAATTAGAGGTGATTTGTAAGATTTTATATAGGACTATAATATAACTTGATTGCAAATTTGCAATTCTCTTTAAATTGTTACAAAATATACTTAGATTGAGCCTTTTTACAGTCTCGAAAATAAATGCCTCACTTTGACTATCCAGCAATCACTGAGATGTATTTCGTCACTGAATCACGTGATCTAAATCACTTTCAAATATGAGACGAAAATGATTCCTCAAATTGGAATCTCATCACAATGCATTGTGAGAGATCTTTCCAATGAGTAATTCCCTGATTGTTTTACTTTTGTCACTTTGTCAACCGGCTTGTATGGTTGTCAGGGAACTGACCTCATGCAAAAAAGGTATTGGATTAGAATCCCAGTCTGAAGAATGGAGGATTTATCTTTCTTCTCTTTGCACTATCTGTCCTTACTACGGGAGCAACATGGATTCGCCTAATATGGTACCCCTGAAAGACTAGTCAGCACATCTGCCCAGCATATACCGCACATCTGCCCTGCATATCGCTCGAAGCATAATACCAGAAAACTGTTTCGTTTCTGGTCCGGTAGAAATTTTTGCGAAATTTGAGCATCACATTTTTTTTTGCTAGATAACTCGAATAAAAACATTAAGAGTCGAATAGGGCTGAGATAGCCTGGTCGGTAGGGCGCTGGGCCCATGTTCGAGAGTTCGTGGGTTCGAACTCAGACAGCCAAAGACTCCCCGGGTAGTAAAATGGGGACTGATGCACCTTAAATCTGTCGAAGCGCAAAGTCCTCCATGTTCCCAAAACAAATCAATACCTCTGGGGATACTGAATTGGAGATTGATCGTTCTCTGATTCAGCTCAAAATTGTGATCTGTGCCCGTTATAGGGTCAGCCCTATAAACGGGCGTGACGTATGGGCGTGGCAGAAGTCGAATTCTTGGCCACAGATGGCGCCATTGGAAAACAAGAACAATCGCACCCCTCTGCCTTAACAGACATACGTCAACAACAACAACCAGAATCGAATAGTTTTTATATTTAAGTTAAAGTAGTTTGATTGAGAAAATTTTGGCAACATTTATTTTTCAATAACAATGATTTATAAGTTTTATTTCTTTCAGGATATTCCAGCTGGATGTTCTGTGAGATTCGAACCAGGAGAAAGTAAAAACGTTACTTTAGTGGAAATAGGGGGTGCTAAGTAAAACTATATTTTATTTTGCAAATGAAGTTTAACCTTACAGCATTACAGGACTATGAAACTTATCTTTTCTATTTTCCGATAGAATTATTACTGGTGGCAATAATCTTTGCAATGGTCCTATGAATAAACGATTCTTACCAAACATTATGCAGAAAGTTATAACACTTGGTTTCGGACACAAAATTCAGGTAATAAATTTTTTTCTGCAGGGTATTTTTTAAACACCACCCTAATTGTAAACCTTTGAAATGCTGCTCAAACACAAATTTAAATGAAAATCCAAAGTGTAGGATGAGAAACAAGAAATAAACAATAAAATAGCAAATGTCTAAAATAGAAGTTGTAAAAAAGTATTTATAATTTTAGTTCCATTTATTCTTGATTATAATTCCCCAGAATTTGATAATTTTTCCCTCTCTCATTTAAAAATGAATTTCTAATTCTAAAGTGCAAGTCCAAATATTTTTTTTAAATAAAAAATAGACAAATATGATCTAAAAATTCTGTATATTCTAAATATATAATATATTCGATTATTGCTTGTCTTTCTTTGAATGTTTTGTATGTACGTTGAACAGTTAAAAAAAAAGAAAAGAAGAAAAAAAACAGCTGCGTGTAATATTAGTTTCGTAGTATAAAAACAAGCCAATGCATTCTAGACAATTTTATAATGGAGTAGCAATTTTAAATTTGTTGTCGTAAAATTATTTTCATTTATTATTTTGCGAAAAGAATAGAGTATTCTAAGATTTTTGTANCAGAGTTGCAGTTACATTTTGACTACAGATATTGACTACGTTCTGCGAATTATTTTATAGGCAATATGATGTTTTTATTTATAAGTTCTCTTGTAATTCTCATATAACGAATATTTTTGATAAATATTTTTCTTCTTGAAACAGAAATATTAACTATTTATGCATAAATAGTAAAGAAACAGCAAAGATTAACTCACAGCAACTTAATGAATTTAGTAATTTGAGTTTTAGGAATTTTAATTGAATAAATTAATATAAAATTAAATATATTGTTATTTTTAGAACAATGTTTTGCCCGTGGAGCCATGCCAAATTACAAGATTTTCCTACATGAGTAATTATGGTCCAACTACTGGAGACAAGGCAAGTGCTGAATTCTTTTAATTCATTTATTACAGTAATCAAAGTTTGAGGGTGGTTTCTTTCAAAAATATTCATTTTTTATTAGTGTTTATTTGATAGTCGTAAAGTAGGTACGGTACTAATTTCTTTGATTTAAAAAATTATAAAAATATACACAGCTACAATTTTCTTTTTAATAATATTCTGTGATTTCTTAATTCTAAAAAAGTTTTCATTATTGTTGATGGATACTTTATTAAAATAATTATCTTTTCTGAAATTTACTTTAAGTTTTTTTTTTCATTACTGTAATTTTTTGTGAAATCTTCTAATAACTAATGATCCAGATGTATAAAATGTTAACTAAAAGATTTCATTGATTTAAGGAAAAAAATTGTATAACTGAGTTTATATTAAATTTAGTTGAAAGAGTGATTTTCAAAAAATTATCTTTCGAAAATTACTTTTTAGATTTATATTACATTCTGATTATTGTAGAAAAAAAATTATTTGAAAATGAATGAACTTGAAATTAATTTTACAAATGATGTCTGATGCTTCTTTTTGTATAAAGAAATATCTGTTATTTTTAACTTTATGAAAAAATTGAGATAAACATTTTTAAATTGAATTTATTTACTTGCTTTGGTTGTTAAAATCTTGCAGAGTTGCAGTTACATTTTGACTACAGATATTGACTACGTTCTGCGAATTATTTTATAGGCAATATGATGTTTTTATTTATAAGTTCTCTTGTAATTCTCTTGCATTCTAATTGTAATACATTAATTGTAAACGACAGGTAGATAAATTTTAACAAGTTTTTAATGAAAATTTTGATCGCAAGTCAGTTAAAATAAATAAATAAATAAACAAATAACTCACTTAATTTCTTTTTCTGAAACCCACTCTGTTTCACATCTATTTCAAACGTTATGAGGATAAGAAAAAAAAAAGACATTTGTTATTTAATGAGAAATGTAACGAATTCAATGCGTTAGGGAAAGATAATTTTATTTGTGAATATTGTTTAAAAAGTATTCCACAGACAATATGTCTTCACATCTTGAAATATTCTGTAGAAAACTTTTAATCATCCTACATTAAATTTTTTTTTATCAATGCTTCGAGTAAAGGGAAAATACGAGGCAGCGCTTCACTTTTAAAACCGTATATAAAATTTATATGAGTGAGTAATGAAAAATTATATTTTGATGCTGCTGCTATCTAGTGGATGAAATGTCAAAATGAAAATGAAAGTTTTTCATTATTCCTTTCAGGAATAAAATGTACAAAACTCGCTTTTTATGCTATTCACGAGGCATTAAAATAGTTCTCACCTTTTTTCACGGAACCAAAGAGAGCCCACTTTGAAAAAAAGAAAATTTTATAGCATAGTAAATCGATATCTTTGATTTCAATGAGTTTTTAGAACTATAGTAACTGGTACCGCCATCTATTGATGTAAATAAAAAGTAAATGTTCATCATTTACTTTACTTCGAAAAATAGAGCTTATTTTTGTATTTTTAGAAAATGAACACTTTTGAAAATGTACATTTAAGAGTTTTCAGCTCAAATAATATTTTCTTGTACTTCAAATGTAGAAATTAAGCAGTACGAGTCTTTAATTGCTATGATAAGAATGTGAAAATATCGCAAAAAATGCTGTGGCACTAGTAAGAGGAGAAGGAGGAAAGACTCAGATTTGTTGCAATGGCACATCGCTTTCTTATTTTTAGCCTTTTTTGGCTGGAGTGGTTTATTTTCTATATATGTGTCTGGTTTCTGGAGATGATGCTCAAATGACTTGATACCCACGCCGCCATCTAGTTAGACATATATGTACTTAAATCTTACTCAATATGCTATTATTTTAAAAACTTGACTATTATTGAGTGCAATTAAATTTTCAAATCTTTACAAGCATCCAGAAATGTACTAGAATATTTTGTAAATATACATGCATAAATTTGTTAGTATCGTTAAGATAATTCCTTCAGTTGAAATGTTAAATTTTTTTTATACCTGTTAGTATTAAATTTTTTTTTTAGATGGCAGCACCATATGCACTTTAGGGGGAGGCCTAATATTAACATAATAACTATAACTATTAATAACTTAGCATCGAACAAAATCTAATTCATATTATCTCAGAAAGACCTATTGAATCAATAATTAAAATAACGGCAAGTTCAGAATTAACTGCTGATGGTTACATGTTTTAGCTAGTAAATATATTGAATTTATAGTGCGAGGAAAAAATTTCAAATTAAAATAAGTATTTTTTAACATTGTAAATACTTTCAGTCAATCACTCATTTTACCACCTTTTATTTTATTTTTATTTTTTTAAACGTGAAAGCATCGAAATTGAATCTTACGTATGGTTTTACAGTAAGGTATTTAATTAATTATTCCAGAAAATGCACCCAGTATTTTAAAGTAATTTTAAAATTCATCAACCGGAAAGTAAAAGAAATAACTAAAATTCTTATAATAGTTATTCGCATAATAGTAATGCCTGTAATAATAATAGAAATTATAATTCTTAGGAATCATTCTTTTAATTGAAAATACAATAATTGAAACTCTGCTCTTATACTTTCTATTCTCTTATTGTATACAATTTTTAAATGTCTGTGTTTGTTATCAGTTTATGTAAATACTTAATAAGGTTTCGTTATTGAAAGCTAGAGAAAACATTAATAGTCAGAATTTTGATTCTGACGAAGTAATGAATCCGTTAAAAACCATGCAATAGGTTTACTTTCGAATATTTCTGGAGACATACACAGAATAAAGTAAAAGGAATTTCAAATATTCTAAGAAAAATTTCGAAGTTTTAGAAAGATTCCTAATAATTTCGTCACTGAATTATACAATATTTAAGATCTAACTCTTTTATTAAAAACGGACTGTAAAAATGCAAATGTCAACAAGAGGTATGAGTAAGCAATGTTGATAAATATAAGTGCAAGATTTATTAACGAATTATTTTCATTTTTTCAATAGGTTCGTCTAGGTGACATGAATCTTATTGTTGAGATTGAAAAAGATTTCACCTTTTATGGAGACGAGTTGAAATTTGGAGGTGGTAAGGTACGAATTAAAATTTCAATGTTTCGCTCCAACTAATTTGGCATCATTTTAATTTTTAACATTTGGCAGCATTAAAAGTTTTTATGATCAGAAACATCAGAATCAAATTACGAAATTATTTAAGCCGATTCAATTATAACATATCCAGCCATAAGATGTGCTAGTAAACAAGGGGAATACTCGTATATTGTTATAATATTAGCACACTTGTATAAATGAATTTTTCATGAAAATTAACTTATTTAATAGAATGAAAAACTGTAGAGTGTGTTTCAAATTAAAACTCTGAATACAAAATATTCAGTTTGAAATCTTTGAATTTGTTAAACTCAATTTTATCATTATTAGATAGCATCAAGTTTAAAATAGTTTCTTATTTTACTTCTGAGAAATAGTTTCGATTTTTTCACAATTTTCAAAATTTTTCTTTTATTATACTCACTTTTAGAGAATAATTTTACTAGTTTAGAGAGCTAAATATGTTACTTCTTCACGGATGCAAGATAGAAATGCTTGACCTGTGTTAAACCTTTCTACTTGAAGTTATCCATTAAGATATGTTGTCCTGTCCTAAGAAACCAAGCCTTAAAGGCTTGGTTTCTTAGGACAGGACGCCGTCAGCTGAGAATCAGCGCTAACCTCTGATTGGTCCATTTGTGAGTTTGATAGTATACGTCATCGAACGCTCATCTTGAACTGCAATTACCGTCCAACTCAACTGCAGTTGGATTACAACGTGACGTTAACCACAAAAGCAATGGCGGACAACATTCTGTTGCACATTGAAATCAGCCAAGATTTTGATTTTGACATTAAATATATCTTCTTCATTAAACATAGCACTCTTCATTTAGCTCAGCTATAATGTGTTTTTTCTTGCTCATTTTCATTATTTGTTCTCTAAAACACTGGTCGACAATAACAAAATCAATACAAATTCAAAATAAATATTTGTTTACGTTATTAACGCATGCGCAATGAGAGATAATGTCTGCGTTGGACCGACTGCTCACGCTGAGCTAACAAAAAAGTATTTTTTTGGCGTCAGCTCTACGTCAACTTTCCGCTGACGCCCAGATAAGGCGCTAGTTTTAAGAAACCAGGCTTTGAGCTAACAAACCAGTATTTTGTTGGCGTCAGCGTGACGTTGACGTCCCGCTGACGCCCAGATAAGGCGCTTGTCCTAAGAAACCAGACCTTTAGTATTCATTAATAATTCATTTAAAGTAGATAATCTTTTAAAAAAATCACGTAAGGTAGGTCAATATCTCATAACATATAAAAAAAAAATCGCGTAACCTATATAGTATAACCTATATAATTTTGTAAATATACAAATGGCATGCTCTCTTACAAACACGAGATAAGTCTCCAACACGTCATAGTAACAGATGGTCTATTTATTTTTAGGGAAAGTGGGCATTGGTTTGATGGACACGTTTAATAAAAGTCAAGCTTTCTCAAAAATTAGATAATTTTTTTATTAGGATAACTTTTCAGATTTTATAAATAACAATAAGTTTTAACTTTTGCTTGATTTTATCAGGTTATTCGAGAAGGAATGGGACAAGCATCATTGAGAAGTAGTCATGAAGTTTTAGACACTGTCATAACAAATTGCTTAATTATTGATGCTATCCAAGGAATCATCAAAGCTGATATTGGAATTAAGGTGCGTTAAAAAGTTGCAAAACTTGTCAATCTTTCTAATTTAGTTCCTTTGTAATAAAAAATGTTTTTATTTTAAAGTATATCTTCTATTTTAGTTTTTTGGAATAATTTGTTTCGAATATGTTGTTTACTGCTGTTTTTTTTAGAGCATTAAACTCTTACAAATATTAAAGACGTCTTGTCTTTGATTCAGAATTTGTAATAAAAAATGAGTAATTTAATTGGGAATGTTTTAGACATTACGTGATGGATAAAAATAATTGATAAAGTACTGGTTTTAAGCAAATAAAGATTTATGAACATTCATAATAACATTTAAGAAGCAACCGACTGCTGGGTATGCAGTGCTATAAATCCGAACATTATTTGTAATAATCTTAAAATAGTATGTTGTTTCTTACATGAAATAATTATTTTGAATGAAATTATATTCATTCCATTATTACTCAGAGAAAAAAATGTGGTCAAAACTAACAGAGTGCTTATGGCTTTATGGGACAACCGAAAACTTCAGTAATTTTTACTGAAGCATTTTTGTAAAATTAACAATAAAATATGGTTTTGTGAGAAGCGAATTCGGTAAATGAAGTAGAATTTGGTATTTTTATCATGATACCTTGAAGCATGGTTAAAAAAGTCCTTTATTCGGTTAAATTTACTTTTAAGTTTTGTGTATTCTACTAAATGTGTGTTAATAAGAACTATAGTTTTAAAAAACAGTATTTCCGGTAAACCAGGTTCCATATGAACAGAAAAATTATCTAATGAATGGCTTTAATACATTACCCAACGTTACGATAGTTTTCCCAGAAAAATTTTACACGAAGGAAAAGACATAAAATCTAACTTGAAAAAAATTTCACTGTTTTTTTTAGGAGTGTTAATTTATAACCGTAATTGAGCATAAAAATCCGCAAAATTTATGTCAATTTTTAACAAAGCTCATTACCTGTAATATGTGTGGTTTAATTTATAAGGTGTGTTTTTACATTGACGAATAATTGAAAAGATTATTTTTGTATTGCTGTTTTTTGCTAGTGTTACTGTTACACATCTAATTACGAGTTATATTTTCTTTTACTTGAGAACTATAATAGAGTATCATAGAAAACATAATTAAAGTTAAGGAAAATTGTATTAAAATAAATTTATTTCATTATTTTAATTCAAAATTCACAACTTTCGATCTGAAAATATTCTCATAATTAATATCATTGTGTATTTAATGTATGTACTTAACTTTTCCGTATTGTTCTGAGCAAGTTTAACATTAAATTTAATTAACTATAAACTAATAATGCTTTATATGTTCACAAAAGATAAACCATATGCTATCCTACATCGAAAATAAATATTTATTACGATATCTTCAGACTAAGTTCTTTGCAGAAATTCTTTTTATTGTGACATTAATGTTTTAGATCCAAACCGAACCCCCACGATTTATTTCTATGTATTGCTATAAAAAGTTGATTCGACCTTACACTTGGTTCATTAACCAAAACAATTACTTTTCTTTTTTTATTATTTATCTTTGATTTCGGTACTTGAACATTAAGTGCTTGTTCTACCGAAAATAAAATCCTAGTTAACTATTACTTTAATAGTTATTTATGTTAGGAAAAGGAGGTAAACTTATCTTGGCTATAAAGCTTAAGGCTGTAAAATTTAATTGTTATTGTTTACAGATGCGAGTTTCTTTCGTTTGTTTTTAAAATTATATTAAATTTAGAGTTCATTACAAGTTTAATAATTTAATAAATTAAATTTAGTTATGAAGAAAAACATGATTAAGTAAATAAAGCACTCAGATATTAGAGTGTTAAGATATTAAAAGCGTTAAGATATTACTTTATTAACACTTCATTCCCTTCAAAAATGTAAGAAAATGGAAATAACAATCGACATGTTTCATGTATTATGAAACAGGTGTCTATTTTTAAGACTTGCCAGGTATGAATGAGAAGAAACAAAACTGATTTTGAAATAGGAAGCGTAAAGTTGCGAACGAAAAATGGATACGAAAACCACAATAGCCGAAAGAGAAAAAAAAAGAGAGTAAAAACAAAACAGGAAAAACCATTATTGGCGAGGGGGTAAGTCAAAGTAAAATGCATTTTCACGCGTTATGGAGAGCTAATATCGTTAGCAAGGAAATCAGCAATTATATGAATAAAATAATTCTCAAGGCATCATAATGAGCTGATTTGACTAAGGTGGAAGTAATTTTAGCATTGCCAAAATGGAATTTATGCCCGAGAATGCAAGTCTGATAAGTCTTGCAAATGGGTGCCTATTTTTGAGCACTTGAAACAAGTCGAATGTTATTTCCATTTTGTATATTTTAGAAGTGAATCGTTTTTAATCAAGTAATAAAAACATGATCAGTTAATATTCTTTATTTAACCATAATAGCGACGTGGCTGTTTGGAGGAATTGGAGGGAAAAAATTTTATTATTATTTTTTATTATTATTTCTGAGCTTATGAAACATATTGTAATTTTAAAACATTTGGGTAGACAGGGAATTCTACAATGGCCAACTTTAATATATATATTAGGAATCCTTGACAAAACAGAAGTAAAAAATGTGTGCATGAGAAGTCACCATTAAGTTTTTAAGTGAGGAAAAATACCAAAACTCTTTGGAAACCAACTGATTCACTACTAAAGATTATAAGACTGAAAATAGCAAAACTAGAATAAATGCAGCAAAAAATATAGTGAAGTTGAAAAGCTAAGATTAATAGTTTAGACAGGCTTTTAGTTTATGACTCGTGAACTTTTAGTTTCAGCAAGCAATCAAAATAGATTTGATGCTTTTCGTCTCGCCTCCTTCAGTTGCAATTCATTTAACTTCGATACTTTTTTTTCCTAAATTGCATATTAATTTGTGACACTTATTGCGTATATTTTTTTAAAATTTTTTTTTGCAAGGTTTCTAAAAATTTATCATAATAAGGGCGGCTATAATGGTAAACCACGTTTGTTAAAATTTTTCTACTTAAATGTTTATTTCCTAACCATAGGAAACGCAAGACGCTTTTCTCCTATATTATTCCAACTGCACTCCTTCAATAAATTCTTACTGCTAAAAATTCTGGCTCACAGACTGCAAAGTTTAAAACAAGTATATGTATTGAAATTAACTTTTAGGCGAGGAAAAAACAAATTAACAAAGCACTATAAAAATCAAAATAATTGCTACAGAGGAATGTAAGATTTATAGCATCAAAACCAGTGCGATTACAGTAAAAAATATTGTTAACTAGATTTGAAATTCTCCGTAGTACTACCAGCAGGCAAACGGCTGAAGCAAGCTGTTTATATAATATAATGGAAAAAGCTAAAATAACAAATTATTCGTGCATTATTTTAATTGAATTTTAATTCTGAATTAAATTAAGTGCAAACTGAGATAATTTTTAATTCAGTGTCTTACTTTAAAATAAATTTAAATATAAATAGTGATATGGGAAGTGAATTGTTTCAAATCTTAAATAAAAAGTAAGTCAATTGGAATAAAAAGTAAACAGCTTAAAATTTCTACTTTAATTATAAAAATATTGTTCATACCGAAAATATATAAGTTTATTGTTTTGTAATTTCGAAACCATTTATTAGAAAAGGAAATCTCTTTGGGAATTCGTTCAGACTGTAGTCGGCAGTAACCAGCCGTTGGTTAATCTATTTCCAGCATTTTGTAACAAAAAAAAGTACTGGAAATTAGGGTGCATCATCCATAACATCTATTATACCGAAAAATTAATTTTTACTGTAAAATATTATGCCATACTTTTAAAAGCAGTATTTATTTAATTAGAGTGGTTCCATGACTTAACTGCATTTGCTGTAAAAATTACGGTATATCAGATTTTTTGTTTTATAGCATGTTCCGGTAAAAATGGTTTACACGGTAAAAAATATTGGCATCCTGAGTGCTGATATATTTTTACTATAACTTGCTCCGGTTTTTTTACAGTGTACATTTTTATCGACTGCATACCTGTTAACTAAGATATATTGATAAATGTAAATTATTTTCTTAAGAAATATTATCTTCAATTTTAATTTAATAAATCAAATATTAAGAATGAATATGCAAGACTAAGAATACAAGTATAATTTAAGAACGTATTTTGTTCAAAATATTTAACTGGTTGCGAAATATTCCCTCAAAATAAAGCTGATGTTTTATTTAAAATTGAATGAGATTTGGAAGGTACATAAAATGAATATTTTAAGAAAAATTGGTTCAACGGTTATTTATTGAATCGTTGGCTTGAATAACATTTGCTTTCCAAATTCGGTTTGAAATTTTTTTCAAATTACAAACTTTAAGAAGTACGGTTCAAGCTTAGTATCATATTAAGGTAGTAGAAAATTTGTTCCATATTATAATTCAAGTATATAAGAGTCTAAGAATTTCGAAGCATAAGTCTTTGATTTCTAGGTATAAATTAGAACTTGCTATTTAGAATTTTTTCCTAATATGCATTTTAATGTCTTTGATGGAAATAAGTTGCCGAAAATTATTTTTTTAAGGTGTTCAACATTTTTTAAATTTTCTCAAATTTTACCAAAAATATACTAGTTTTCAAGAAAGTCCTAAATACTAAATTTTGACTAAGTTCCATGATATGTTGATAAGTAAATAAAATGAAGCAAAAAATATTCCGACGTATTAATAGTAACTTAAAGAATGGGGAATCAGGTTCAATAAATTTCTCTATATTCTCGGAGAAAAAAATTCTGCTAAGATTATCGTACTGCATGGTAAAAACATTTCTGGTAAAAAGAAAATGATTCTTTCTAATAAAACCGAAATATATGATATTTAAGCAATTCATTTCGTTATTTACCCGCTTATATGGTAACGGTTTTCCCGATTCTGGTTTTCAAAGCTATAGTTCTTAGTAAGAAACTTAACCGAATAAATAGTTTTTATGATTATGCTTAAAGTTAGGATGATAATTTTACCAAGTTTTATCATATAGTATA